TAATCAGACTACTGAGGACCAATCACAGAGCCGGCAGTGGAAGTAAGATGTTGTATTGAGCCCTGGTTATTGTGTATCCCAGAAGTCCGATTTATGGACCGTGAGAGGTCTGATATGTCCTCCTGAAAGTACCTTCAATGATCTTAAATATAACACTTCTTAAGATGTAATAAAAAGTATACCAAACACTCTGAATGCAAAATACACTCTTTGTTGAAATTCTGTTAAAACATGGCTATGACTCTGTATTATTGAAACGATAATGCCAAACACTGATTGAACTAATATGTAATAAATTATGTATTGACTGACTATTTAATGATATTGTATTTTATTGCAATTGTTCGGTTAAGCCGATTACCTTGACAAGATTAACACAGGAGAATTAATAAAATTGTTGAGAGAATAAGCTTTGTGTATTGTCACTTTAAATATTTACAAATATTACAAATAATCAATAATGATATTCAAGTTTCTGCTATAATTACACTTCAATTGGATAGGGGAGAGTATTGATTGTGGTTTTTGACTTTCTTTCCTGAGATACTGACAGCAGAGCCTCGGGAACCTAGGTTTGATTTATTTAATCTGTTTTTTAGGCTATCAGGCTTCCCAAATTTGTGTATTTATTAACAACTGGCCAGTTGATCTTAATATGCAAAGGGGCTATTCGTAGTCCTGTGTACAGCACACTTTGTTGCTCAGTGGCAAACTAAGCCAAATCGACTACTGAGTCGATTGTTTAATTTTGGTTAATAAAATTACTTTTATGGCGTTAATGGAAGCCTACCCTTATAGCCTGTATTGAAACCTACCCTTCAACCGGGACAATGCTCTGATTGAAACCTGAATTTGTACACAATCAAATACTCTCAGAGATCTCTTTATGTATTTTAGAAGTGATTTAAAACCCAAATATTTAAGCAAGAACAAATTGTAACAGTTTTACGTGACAGACAGCTGATATCCTAACGATATAAATTGAAGTTAAGTACAAAATTACAATATGAAATTTACTGGTATAAAAATTTACCCAAATTATTAATATAATAATACCTACAAATGTATCACAGTATGTATTTTAAAATAAGTAAATGGCAATAACTTTAAAGCAATGTGACTGGATTACACACTAGGACATGAAACCTGCAAGAAACATGATCAAACAAATATGAATGTGGACAGATTGGCTTCTTCTAATGATATAAATACAATTTACACAAAACATTTACTTACATACACAGAAGACAATTTTGACGACACATAAACATATAATTACGACACTGTACTTGGGGTAGGCTCTACGAAAATGGTCAAATTTGACGAATTTTGCCGGTCGACGTCGAACTTAAAGACTCGATTTATTTATTCAATTCGTAATTTAGCAAACGCTGTTTCACGGTTTAAATACCAACTAGTGGACCTGTGCGGTTCAATGCCCCGCAAAATGACATATGAATTTAGAAAACAAATTCATCGCATTATATATTGACTCGACGTCGAAAATTAAATGCAGTAATAATGAAGCCTTGGAAGGGAAGCAGTTCAGCCATTTTCTAGCTGTATATGTGTATTACATTTAGTAAATTAATAAGTGTTCAGGTTCAAGTATGTTATAGGCAGCGAGCAAGGTTATAGGGTAGTTATTTTTTAAAGATTTTTAAAACACATTTAACAAAAAAATTTATCATATCAAACCAATAGGCCTATGTAGTATATTTTGAGGGTCATAAAAATGCTGCTTGAAGAAAACACACTTTTAAAAATAAACACTAAAAAACAATATCTTTATCACAAAATCACTTCCATGAATACTACGATTTTAGCCTTAAAGTTACCTTCAGGAAGATTACCCTGGTCAGAGTTTTCCGTAACGAATATGCGTATCCTATTAAAAGATGTAGCCTTACTTAAAACAACATATAATATAGTTGCTCATGACTCAATTGGTCTGGGTAAGAACAGCGCTGCAAATGACAAAGGTAACAGAAATTAGCATCTTTCCATTTTGAAAGGTAAGTTTGTTTCAGATGGGTAAATCTTTATCCTCGAAATCAAAATATGTCCCCACTCACTTGTTCCAGTTAAGACTTTACATTCTATTAAGTTGTTAAACCATTGATTCTGATCACATGAAGCCTTGTGCCCTTTTTGATATATTAATATTCCTCATCAATAAAACCACTGCCCCCTTTTATTAGTCTAATCTGTTTCTTGGCCATCCACTGACCTCTATATTTAAAAACTCAGTTGGATTTTCTAGATAGGTGTCTCCACCTTCGTCTGTTTTTAAGGACCCACTCTTCTTCCCCTTGGTATACTGACAATTAATTACCTGACTTGTCAAGTTCATGTAGTAATTCAATAATACTGTTAGTTTATAAAGAAAATTAGATAAAAGTTACTTGGCTTGGTGCTTTCATAACTGCAAACTCAAAATACACCCACAAGTAAAAAAGAATGGTTAAAAAAACTATGTGTAATAACATTATTCACATGAAGTAGATGATTTGTTTGATTTGTCGATCAGCTGTTTAGTTTCAAATGAATTAATAATGTCAAAGATTTGTGATTTAAATACATAAATTATTATAGTAAAGTTTTCTAAATCATGGTAACTTGTTCTCCACTAAATTTTACTATTCCCAGCATTAAAATAAAGTATTAAGATCCATTATGGGTAAACTTTAAGGTACACAATCCTTGATTGAAATGTAGTAGGTATACATTAAGAGTCATAATACACAGCAATTATTATGTAGTAGACTTTGACTATTTTCAAGTAGTAAACATATGTTTCTGTAAATAAAAATTATCTCCCATGTTATCCTTATGGAGAAATACGAAACTTTAAAGGGCTCCAGGGCCTCAATATCTCATTATTTCCCTAAAAAGAAAGCTTCCTGCACAACTTCACGTTACCCTCTTTCCAATGACACCAAAAACATGTCAATCGGTTCAGTAGTTTCGGAGGAGTAATTGTCACAAAAAACCTGCTTGCGTATTAAATAAGTAACGAGAGGTCGTCCAGTGGTCGAGACTCGACCAAAAATATGTAATGTACTCACTTCTCTATTTTCACCCCACACTGTAAATAAAACATGTGATTGGAGTTTCTTCCATTTGTTTTGATTTTCTGTTTATATTTCGTTGTTATTTCGTCACCAGCATGGCAACGCATAAGATCCATGTTAATTTTTTCAAATCTTTAAACTAATTTTTTGTGCTTATCTTTGAGCCTATTTAAATTTATAAAGGGATTCTGCACACCTACAGGAAAATAGCTTTCTAACGGTATGCGTAGATTTACCCCACGATGCACACAAGCTGAGAAAAAAGGTTTTAAAGAAACATGCTTGCCTATTAATATATAGATAGATAGATAATAGATGCACTCCGGAAATCGAACAATTGATTTCGTTGACGAAATACACGTTACGACTACCAAAAGTGAGTTTTGCGAATTGAAAAGGAGAATTTAAAGATTTCCGAACATCACGGCTCAGAGCCTAATCCCAAGTGAACCGTTAGAAAGACGTCCACACAAGTCAGCAAGTTGATATCACTCCGCGCTCACGTGATTGGCCGTTGTTGGGTCCTTGCCTTCGCGCGTTTTCTGTTTGATTTGAATTTTCAATCGGTACAAAACAGATGTACAGATGGATGAAGACTGTCGCGGCCGTCCGACAGACAACGCTACATACTTACAGAACAGACCGGACAAAAATAGTGGTGGGGGAACCTCAGATCGTCAGTGGTCGGAGGGTTCAACCATCGTCCATCAGACACGCGGACATAGTTATAGTAGTCTGGTCCAAGAAAATCGGTCCGCAGACAGCCCCACACACGATACGACAAGTGCCAGACACCAGACCGGACGTTCTGCTCTGAAGGTCTAAGTAGTATGTGGAGTGCTTTACCAAATCCCTTCTTATTCTATTTTCAATATTAGCATTTTTGTGTTTGGCATTTTCAGACAGAGGTTAAGCACACACTACCAGACTAGACCTCCGGACCAGACCGACACACTGACACTACCAGACCAGACCGTCTGGCTGCAACCAAACCGTCTTGGACGGCTCTACACAGTACACACTCTCAGACCAGACATTCCAACATTACCCAGATAGCAAAAAATACTTGATTAAAGCTTGAAACAAGTTTGATTTGTCAAATCTGCAAACTTGAATCACGTTTGCTCGGATGGGTCCGTAAACTTGATTCAAGTTAATATCATGCGTCGAAGTTCCCGCTCTTCCAGTTTGAATAAAACTTGAAACATCTAATTTGAATAAAACTTGAAATTTCTAATTTAAATAAAAATTGAAACATCTAATTTGAATAACACTTGAACTATCTAATCTAAATATAAATTGAAAAAATACTTGATTCAAGCTTGAAATAAGTTTGGTTTGTCAAATCTGCAAACTTGAAGGATCGGGTGTGTAAACTTGATTCAAGTTAAAATCATGCGTCGAAGTTCCCGCTCTTCCAGTTTGAATAAAACTTGAAAGATCCAATTTTAATAAAACTTGAAATATCTAATTTGAATAAAAATTGAAACATCTTATTTGAATATTAATTGAAAAATACAAGAAATAATTCTTTTTTAGCCACTTACAAGCTCTTTTTTTATTTCTGAAAATTTAAATTTAATTCATATGCTTTTACCAGGATTCACACAGTCTTACATGTAATAAAAATTTCATATTTTTTAGGTTGAGATGCATAGCACAATATAATCTTCCAATATTTCAGATAATTTTTCACAATCACAACATAATCTAATAACTTCAATGCCTCTAGTTGTTACATGCTAAGACACTTCTCTAAATAAAAAAGCGAGATACCATATAAAAACTTGTTTTTATAAAAGAGCAGGAAAACATGAGTTATTATAGTTTTTAACCCTACAATTTTACATATTATTACTATTCAGTACGTAGAATTCAGAATTCTTTGAAATTAAAAATAAAACACAAGAGATAATTTGTCTAAATAGATTTATATTGAAGATTTACATAACACATTCACATTTGAAAATGCCTCGTATCTTTAACTTTCAACAAACAGTTCCCTCAAAAATTCCTCATTTTACGATTACTTAAATAATACAGAGTAAGTTATCTATTCAACAAGATCTTCATCCACATTGAGTGGAACTTCTTCCCCACTGTCCACAGTGGCAGGTTTTTTCCCTCTGAAAAAAGTCAAAACAAATAGAATCAATATTAAATTTAAGGATAATCAACCAAAATAATTAATTTTGTATCTGGTATAAAAAAATAGGCAAGTAAGCAACATTTTAAACTAACGCAGTTTAACTCACAACCAGTGTAGGCCTGTTTAGTGAAAATTAATTTATTCCTACAATGATATACAAATACAATATATGATCTTCCCAATAATATTAGTAATAATTATTAATATGTATAAAACACAATTACATTTTGATTGTTAAAAAATGCTAAACACAAGCCCAGGATTGTTTTCACATTACTTCAGGCAAAACCTAGGCGTTGCGGCATTATCACTTCGATGAAATAATTAGGCGAATCTGCGGGATTTTGTATTTTACGGTTTAAGTATAAAACTAGTTGAGCGAAGCTCACTTTCCCTCACTTTGTTACTTCTTTGTATGAGCATCAGAATGTAATGGCTTGACCAATTGATATGAAATTTTGCCAACAGCTAAAGAATACTGAGCACAATGTTTACGTAAAAAATATTTGCAAATTTCCTTCTGGATTTTATTTTACGTGCCACGCAGTTTCGCTTGTTATTTTATTATAAGTTAAAAGAAAAATTATATTGGGTCTATGACATATGGGTTTATCTCGTTTCATTTAATTAAGATAAACATATGTTAATTGTTTGTAGCTGTTTTGTTTACATTTCAATGTTTACTTTCATCCTAGGTTAAAGTTGTAATGTAACAGTTTATCAATGGAAGTAACAGTTTTGCTATATTTGTTTTGAGCATGCCTCAAAGGCCACGTCGTAATATTGGTCGACGCACCAATAACGCAAATATTGTAAGAGAGTGGCGTCGTGAACAAGAAGAACCAGATGAAGCAGTGGCGGAAGAAGCTGACAATGATAGGCAGTTAGGTAGCTAATCAATTCCAACATGAATTAGATGCACTAAAATTTTACATTTGCACTAACTGTCATCGCCAACAACTAACAGATTCAAGCAATTTTTTGGTGTTCAAACCAATCACCGATTTGTTCGCGTTGTCGTTCAAATGCAACTAAATTCACGGCGTTAAATAATATGGATGTGTCAAGTGTCCCGAACGAATGAACTGACCTGATGATTGTAGAACAAATGTTGATTGCACGAGTACATCCCGCTATGCGCATTTACAAAGTACAAGCAAATGGTCAGGCTTTTATCAATTCTTATTTTTAACTAAATAAATGAACTATCAGATAAATTTGTCATTCTTTAGAACCTAAATAATATCGGGCAAACAAACGGTGAATCTGTTGAAAGGGAACATATTGTAGGTTATTAGCTGCTTTAGTCATTAATCTTCAAATAATGCTTCGCTCATTTATGCGTCTAAAGTGTAACGGCAGACCACCCTAGTGATAGTTCTGGTTGGTTATCCTAAATATAGCCAAGATATTTATTACAAATCTTGCTCATACTTTACAAATAATTATAAGCTTTAATTTACTGTATAAATTAATCCAGGTAAGCCCAGCATTGCTATGAAACATGAAAACCCCTCTACAAGAATAAAAATACTAGCATTTTTCTTTTGGCGAATTTCCCTATAGGAAAAAATCTATTACCGTATGTGGCATGGTAAGACCTAGGCCCGGAACCGATTAACTTTTTCATTTTGATGTTCCCAGAGCCCAATAACACCATTAGTTCAAATTTTTATATGTGTATATATAGATTATATGTCCGTGAACACGATAACTTGTGTAGGCTAAGTTAATTTTTGTCCGATTTTGATGAAATTTGGTTTGAAGGTGTAAGGCGGGATAAACTTGAATAAGTTTGCGAACCAGCATGATCGGACCATGGGAACGGGGTTTTATGGGGTAAAAATGGGTTTTTCTAATTTTTGACCCTTTAATTATAAAAATTTCCCAATTTCTCTCCAAACCTTTTTAAAGAGCTTAAAAAACAAATGATTTTAGTATAACAAAGTGTTTTCGTACAATTATTGGTTACGGAGAAAAAACAAATATATATTTTAAAATTCCCATGTTATTCTTATGGAGAATATAGTAAAATGTCGTAGTTTGCTTGTTTTTGACCAAACTTGGTAAATTTATTTATTTGATACTAAGTAATTATTATTTTACTAAAAAACACACTTTTTTACCCTCCTTGTAGCAGCAAGCCTATGTACTCATTAAAGCTAATGTTAATTAAATACATTTAATTGAAAATCAATTCAGGCAAATGGAAATTCACTTAGTCGGCAGGTTTGCTGAGGCGGGGGTATTTTTTAGCTTATACAGTACTTGAGTAATCATAATGATAAACAATAAAAAACATTTTTATGAAAAACCATTATGCAGTAGACTCCTTTTTACCCGAACACCTAGTAACCAGACTGCACTCAGCAGATATAATTCTTAAACCAGACAATTTTTATCAGTACGGTTTAACCACCCTGGATCGGCAGGAAGTGAGCGGTGCTGAAACAACTTGTCTTGTAGGATAGATTTGAGACCATTCATCACATGTCTAAAGATTAAAATATTTAAAAGGTATAAAGTCTTGGCATCTTGTGTTTTGTTTACAGTAATTATCCCAAAGTGTCTATAGTTTGGCTATTTTTACAGAATTAACATTATTGGCTTAAATATATTTTGCATTAGACTTTAATCATGTAACAAGTATGAGGGCACGTCAGTTTCAAGTGTCTCCTTCCCTGTATAATTGAGTCCACTGTACAGTATTATTAGGCTACCAATGGAATTCTATTAATGATGAGTTGAATAGTTAGTTAGTGACAATTTTTTATCCTTACCTTCTTTCACATCTGGTTTTGGCTTGTTGAAGCCACTTAGCAACAACGCTTGTAACTTTGGCTTCCGTGACTTCACTTATGCCCAACATTTTCTGTGCAGCAGCTAAAAAAAAATACTTAAAATGAACTTAATACAGAATAGTAGCCTACATTTAACCCCTAAGACCTAAAGTTTGTCTTCCCATTTCAAACATGGGGTGAAGTTTAATTTCTGAAGTTCGAGATTTTACTTTCATATTAGGTATCTTTAATATTTTAATAAATCAATTGTTTAACAAGTTCGCTACTGATCGGTACATGCGCCGGTAGGGCGATCAAAATAGACCGATCCTAATATTCAACGTCACTGATGGACTAAAGGTAGTAAATTATTCAGTAGCGATTAGTAATAGCGATTATCGGTAGCGATTATCAGCAAGTTTGGTTAGTAAGGTTAGGTTATGACAGTTTAATTTTTATATTACACAAATTATACATTTTTTATTTTTTTACTCTCATTTTGTCCGTATTAAAATTCCGCAGGTGAAATAAAAATTGTGCCACCCCTACAGTGCCTATCTTAACCGCTTCTGGTTAAAAATAATCCAGCTGTAGGCCGATGTGTATAACTTTATTTAGAAGATCTTTATTACATAACCTGTGAAACTTAAGCCTAGACCTAAGTTATTTTAGTTATAAAATATTTATATTATTTATGTTGAAACACCCAGGTACAGTTCTGCAATAAACCTACAAAAGGCCTATTTTATATCATCAGATGCAACTTTTATTCGATAATTAGGTAACCTTAAAATATTAACTTAAGTTAAGTTAGGATTATATTATTTTCCCATAAAATACTGAAGTAAAGTTATAATTTTAAATGTTTGACTCAGATTAAAATGTTTCATTCGATGTAAATTATTAAGTTTAACTTAGGTCAGAGTTTCTCAAGGTGTGGTCCGCAAGCATTTTTTTGTGGGGTCCACGAAAAACATTTTAATCAAATTTATTTTTATATGTATTGACATACTAGCAGAGTACCCGTCCTTCGTACGGGGTTGGCGTATAAGTATAAAATGCTTATTGCAGTTATACTCGTGCTTTGTGTTTGCAATGGGGGAGAACACAGTTTGAGTAAATTTGGCTCTTTTAACTTACGGTAATTTACACATCTACTATAGCCATAATAATGTGCTACCACTTCACCTAAAAAATAGAGACGAATAAGTTACCAAATATTCGCACAATCACAAATTATTTATAAATAAAAAACTTAAGCATAACTGTAAACAGTCCTATTTTTTGTCAGTTCCCATTGTGTATCATAGCTTTTTGTTGCTGCTTGGGTCAAATAAGCTGTTGTCATATATGAAAAAAAATTATAGTTCTGCACCCTATTAGTAAACACTATAACTTTTTAGTGCTATTGAATATCATAGAACCAACTCGTGTAGTTGAAACCGCTGGTAAAATTATTTTATTCATTTTAAATTTGAATACTGATAAGGTTAACATGGAAATCTCCAAAGCCACTGGGGCGGAACCTGAATGGGTCTTTGAGATTAGAATATGTCTATATGTTAATTGGGAACGAAAGCTATCATCATACCGAATTTCAGCTCGATCCGACCAGTAGTTACTTAATGCGTGATTGAACTTCAAACAAACAAACAAACACACAAACTTTCACATTTATAATATTAGTAAGATTATATTATACTAGCCTATTTTGCTATAGGCTAAAGGATTAAGATTAAGAAATATGCAAAAAAACTTAAACCTAAATAAATAACCTAGCCTACTTATTTATTTAGGTTTAGGTTCCTTTGCATTTTTCTTAATTTTGATTTTAATAAGTAGCTTAAACTAGCCTACAGTTTTCTATTTATATCCTAAATAATGACATCTAGTGATACGTATCCGTTCCAAACCCTATCACTCACTCCTATCCTATCCTATCACTATGTATTTTCTATCGATCGTCTATTGATACTTCCCCTAGGGTCAAGTAGAGCCTCGTCTTCTAACTCCTCCCTGAGGAGATAGTTTAAAAAGTTACAACACGCACTCATGACCTCACCATTGTGAGTGCTGATGAAAAATCGTACGACGACCGTAAATCAATCGCTCTAAGCAAAACGGTCGCCGTAACAGCGATAGTAACTGAGCGATAATCGCTGTGCGACTATCGCTACAGTCGCTCCAAGCAAAATAGGCCTTAAGTTAAGTGGACTAAATCAAAGTAAGTTAACCGAACTTAATGCCAATTTTAGTTTATGGAGAAGAAATTTTGTAGCCTACCTACTTTATATCAGAAACTAATCGCCTGAAAGCTGACCAGACTCTTACTGCGATTAAACGTAGGTTACTGCATTTTATCTGACAGTGTCACTAACAAAGCAGCTGCTTAAATAACTTACTTATCGAGTAGGCTACTGAAGTAACTTAGCTTTAAGTCCCTAGCCCTAAGTTATAAGTTAACTACACATTAAAATATCATGGTATAAAATATGGCATTAAGTTAAGTCTAAAGCCGGGTTTTACTAGACGCGGAAGAGGAGCGCGGAGAGTGGAAAATCGATTAACATGGCATTCCGCTCTGCTTCCTAGGAAAACAGTACCGGTAACATTAAGCTATTTAAGACAAGAGGAGTTCACTCTCCACGCTACTCTCTCCCCGCCTAGAAAAACCCAGCTTTATAGAATAGTCTACAACGTAACTTAGGCTCATTATGGCTAATCTAGGCTATAACCTACCATAGTCTATACTATGAATAGTGAAGACAATGCCTAGGCCTAAGTTAGACCATACCAGTAGGTACCACAATACCTAAGTATCTTACATGGAGAACTTGATATCCAAGCTGGTAAAAAAAATATGTTTTTATGCATACAAACAACTCAAAGTAAGGCCGATAAGTTGACAACATTTATTTTTTAGGCTAGGCTACTCATTGCACGTAGGCTTACCAACTCAAAAGTGGCTGGCTTTAGGCAATAACTTACTTGGCTCTTTCAAAATTTTCACTGATTTTGAGTTTACTGAATTTCTTCCTAGGCTATTGTAATTAACTTAAGACGATTTGATTTTGTTAGTCACAATCCTTGAGTTTACTTAGTTTGTGCTAATAAGAACTTACCTTGATGGATAAGAAGAAATAGGCCTAGATGAAACTTAATAAAAAATCAGCTTTAACAATATAATATAATAACTTGAACAACTCAGCACCACAATATCGATATTCTCAACTCAATGAGATAGATTGAGAATGAATCACTCACAAATACACAATAAACAAAACAAAGCAATATGGCTGATGGCGTCTTCAAGTGTCGGTCCCACCGTTAGCGTCGTTCCCGCTCGGAATTATGGGTAACTTACACTCGACTCCAATTCGAATCCAACGTGATACTTAAAAGCTGTAATTTCAAACCAACGTAAGCGTAATGGAAGTGCATTGTGGGTAATATTACACTCGACTCGGATTCGAATCTAATGTGATATTTCAAAGCTGTTAATACAAGCAAGTGCAAGCGTAATAGTAGTGTGTTGTGTATACTCGAATCCAGTTTGAATCTAATGTGACATTTCAAAGCTGTTAATTCAATCAACTGTAAGCGTAATTCATGTGTGTTACAAGAAGTTGACATTTGACTCGAGTTTGAATCTAAAGTGACAATTCAAAGCTGTCATTTCAAGTAAAAGCAAGCGTAATTCAAGGCTTGAATCAAGCTTACGTGCTATCTGGGTAGTAATTGAGACACCGTGGTGAGAACTCCAACAAATGGATGAAGATTGTTGCGACGTCGGCCGTCTGACAGACAGCGCTACACCACAGACAATATCATACTGTAATGGTTTCTTCCATTGTCTGTGGCTACACACTCACAGACCAGAAAAAAATAGAGTTGGGGGTAAGGCCGTCTGTGGTCTGAACTGAAGGTTCAACCATCAGACACACAGACTGTCTGGTCCGAGAAAATCGGTCTGCACTCTGCAGACAACCTCACACACAATAAAGTGCCAGACGCCAGACCAGAACGTCTGGTCTGGTAGTGTGTGGGGGGCTTTAAGACAAAAACAGTTCAATATAATTAAAAAATAAAATGACTTTATTACTTCATAACATACACTTCATACTTTAATACTTTCTTATTAAATGGCGACCATACAAAGTAGGTATTTTAAACCAAGTATGAATGGAAATGAGTGTAGGATGAGTGGCGCGATCTTGAAGTCTTGTTAGTGACTAAGGCCGACATTCTTTAGACACGCAGCTGTTAATTAATAGCTCATACAGCTAATGGCAACTAAATGACCTACAGTACAGTTTATAGTGGATTTCGAACCACATTTTTGCCTTGGTATATGCAAATTGGTCTAATTATCAGGATAGTACTGCGGATAGTTGTTGGCGTTTTAGGTGTTAGGCGGATAGGTGTTCTTGTTGCGCTTGGCTCACTGATCCCTAGAAAAGTTTTACCTACTTTGTCACCCAACTCTGAAAATATTGTTCTCTCTCTTCAATATGGTGCACATAAACCTTTAATACTTGGTGCCTGTTATATACCCCCTCAGTAGCCGTTTCATGTATATGCTGACTTGTGCAGCGGTGTTGATGAGCTTCTCTCCCAAGCCTCGGGGTCCTCTTCCATACTGCTTCTGGGTGACTTTAATCTGCCGAGTACGAATTGGTCCTGTGACCAGCCTACTCCCAAGTGCAAGCCATCTGGTCTGGTCATTGATATGATGAACTTGTATCAACTTCAACAAATTAACACTGTTACCAATGTCCGAGGTGTTACACTTGATTTAATAATTTCTTCTTCATATTATTCCGTGAGGAATGCCCTGGATCTCCTTCTGCCTGCTGAGGATCATCATCCCGCTCTTGCCCTGGAGGTTTGTGTGCCCCATAACACCACTCATGAAGAACCACTCTTTGTTAGAGACTTTAATAGGATCGACTGCTCGAGGGTTTTTACGCATCTCAGTCAATTACTTGGTACGGTGTACTATATACCCGAGGACGTCAATGAACACTTCGACCAGTTCCTGCATTTGGTGCGTCACGTTGTTCTGGAGAATACTCCCCTCAAGAAAACCAATTCAACTCACTTTCCACCCTGGTTTACCCCTGAGTTGAGGCGACTGGTCATCAAGAAGAAAATACTCCATTCCCAATACAAGTCCACTCTTCGCACCTCGGATTATGTCAAGTTCTCTATGGCTCGTTCCCAGTGTAAGATTCTTACAAAACAATGTTATGATAACTATATCAATCATGTGAACTCAGCCATCACCTCAAACCCAAAATCTTTCTGGGGTTTTATTAAGAGCATGACGTCATCCTTCGCCAATGAACCATCACTTACATACAGTGGTTATTCATCACAGTCACCTTCCGAAATATGTAACTTGTTTGCTGAATTCTTCACATCAGTCTACAAGCTTCCTTCCTCTTCGACTTCTCGTTATAACTTCGGAAATCAAATGAACCTGTCCTCAATCGTGCTTGAATCATCAGATGTTGAGAAGAAGCTTTCTGAACTCAACCAATTCAAGGGAACTGGCCCTGATGACATACCTGCATCTGTCTTGAAACACTGCTCAAACTTACTTGCCCCTCAACTTACTGTACTTTTCAACAAGAGTCTTCAAGCCGGGATTTTTCCTGATGCACTCAAAGAAGGCTACGTCGTGCCAATTCATAAATCTTCATCCAAGGGAGAAGTCACAAATTATCGGCCAATTGTTATTCAACCTGCTCTGGGCAAAGTTTGAGTGCCTTCTCATCGACAAACTTATGTTCCACTTACAAGCTCTGATTATCCCTGAACAGCATGGATTTATAGCGGGAAGATCGTCTCTCACCAATCTAGCTCTTCTCCAACATTTAGTCACCTCTGCCTTAGCTTCAGGTAGCCAGGTTGATTGTATATACTTAGACTTCTCAAAGGCATTTGATACTGTCAGTCATGAACATCTTATTGCAAAGTTGGAGGGGTATGGGATCTGCGGCAGTCTACTCAGTTGGTTCAGCTCCTATTTGAGTGGCAGATCCCTCAAAGTTAAATTCAAGTATGCATTGTCCGATCCTTTTGTTGCTCTCTCTGGAGTGCCACAGGGCTCTCATCTTGGACCGCTTCTATTCTCCCTGTTCGTCAATGATGTTGTGGATGTACTTGACTGCAACTGTCTCCTGTTCGCAGACGACTTGAAGATTTTTAGAACTGTTCGCTCTAGTGAGGACTGCCTTCGACTTCAGCAATGTCTTCGGCGTGTTGAAGATTGGTGCACCGATAACTGCATGAGGCTCAACGTTAAAAAGTGTGTGGTGGTTACATATAGTAGAGCTAGAAGGCCTGTGGATTATAATTACTGCCTAAGCAACCTGCCCCTCGCTAGAAGTGACAACATTCGAGATCTGGGTGTTGTACTGTCTGCGGATCTGAGTTTCTCACGCCATATTGAGGAAATTTATTCTAAGGCCACCAGGATATTGGGACTCATCATGAGATCCTCTAGATGTGGTCTGAGTATAGAGGCGCTTCGCACACTGTACATTTCTTTGGTGAGGTCAAGACTTGAATATTGTAGCTCTATATGGTCACCCCACCAACAGTGCTACATTGATCGTCTGGAGAGTGTCCAGTGCCGATTTCTACGTCTTATTGGGTGTAGGATGGGTTACATGTACCGGGATGTACCTACCCAGGACATCAGAAGGTTTCTTGGACTTGATACCCTGGCCAAGAGGAGGGAAATCAGTGATGCCATGTTCCTGTTCAAGATACTAAATGGACGAATCAACTGTCCTGATCTGCTTGCGCTGATTGACCTGCATGTTTCCCCACCTAGATCCACTCGTTCCAATGTGCTGTTTGCTCGCCAACACTGCTCCACGAACTATGAACTTTATAGCCCTCTGCCTAGACTGCATCGACTCGGCAATCGGCTCTGTCATTATGTGGACTTCTTTGACTGCTGTCCACGGGTTGTCAAGAGGATTGCGTCTTCGGTTCTTGAGGAACAGTAATCTCGTTCTGCTGTGATTTAATTGTACAGGTCTTGTTTAATAATTTAATTCTCTGTCAATGCTTCCTTATCAATGCTCCCTAGTCATTATTGCCGTCTGTCACTAGTTTATTGATATTGCTTGTACTATTGATGTAGTTTTATCTCTCTTGTTATCTAGTTGCATGTTTTCTTGTAGTATTTTATCGACTGTTATTGTTTCCAAATTTCTATTTATTGTTATGCTTGCTATTCAACTAGTTTTTCTTTTCTATTAGCATGTGATGTTAGTACTGAATTGATGTATGTATTATCTTTCTGTTATCTAGTCGCATGTTTCTTGCAGTATTTATCGATTGTTATTGTTACCTAATTCTATCCTTTGTTATGCTTGCTATTCAACCAGTTTTTCTTTTTCTATTAGCATGTGATGTTAGTATTGAATTTATGTATGTATTATCTTTCTGTTATCTAGTCCCAGATAGCACGTAAGCTTGATTCAAGCCTTGAATTACGATTGCTTTTACTTGAAATTACAGCTTTGAATTGTCACTTTAGATTCAAACTCGAGTCAAATGTCAACTTTGTGTAACACACTTGAATTACGCTTACAGTGGATTGAATTAACAGCTTTGAAATGTCACATTAGATTCAAACTGGATTCGAGTATACACAACACACTAACCATTACGCTTGCACTTGCTTGTATTAACAGCTTTGAAATATCACATTGGATTAAAATCCGAATCGAGTGAAGTATTACCCACAATGCACTTCCATTAGGCTTACGTTGGTTTGAAATTACAGCTTTTAAGTATCACGTTGGATTCGAATTGGAGTCGAGTGTGTTACCCATAATTCCGAGCGGGAACGACGCTAACGGTGGGACCGACACTTGAAGACGCCATCGGCCATATTGCTTTGTTTTGTTTATTGTGTATTTGTGAGTGATTCATTCTCAATCTCTCTCATTGAGTTGAGAATATCGATATTCTGGTGCTGAGTTGTTCAAAGTTATTATATTATATTGTTTAAGCTGATTTGTTATTAAGTTTCATCTAGGCCTATTTCTTCTTATCCATCAAGGTAAGTTCTTATTAGCACAAACTAAGTAAACTCAAGGATTGTGACTAACAAAATCAAATCGTCTTAAGTTAATTACAAGAATAGCCTAGGAAGAAATTAAGTAAACTCAAAATCAGTGAAAATTTTGAAAGAGCCAAGTAAGTTATAGCCTAAAGCCAGCCACTTTTGAGTTGGTAAGCCTACGTGCAATGAGTAGCCTAGCCTAAAAAATAAATGTTGTCAACTTATCGGCCTAACTTTGAGTTGTTTGTATGCATAAAAACATATTTTTTTTACCAGCTTGGATATCAAGCTCTCCATGTAAGATACTTAGGTATTGTGGTACTGGTATGGTCTAACTTAGGCCTAGGCATTGTCTTCGCTGTTCATAGTATAGACTATGGTAGGTTATAGCCTAGATTAGCCATAATGGGCCTAAGTTACGTTGTAGTCTATTCTATAAAGCTCGGTTTTTCTAGGCGGGGAGAAAGTACCGTGGAGAGTGAACTCCTCTTGTCTTAAATAGTTTAATGTTACCGGTACTGTTTTCCTAGGAAGCAGAGCGGAATGCCATGTTAATCGATTTTCCGCTCTCCGCGCTCCTCTTCCGCGTCTAGGAAAACCCGGCTTTAGACTTAACTTAATGCCATATTTTATACCATGATATTTTAATGTGTAGGTAACTTATAACTTAGGGCTAGGGACTTAAAGCTAAGTTACTTCAGTAGCCTACTCGATAAGTATTTAAGCAGCTACTTTGTTAGTGACACTGTCAGATAAATAGCAGTAACCTACGTTTAATCGCAGTAAGAGTCTGGTAAGCTTTCAGGCGATTAGTTTCTGATATAGGTAGGCTACAAAATTTCTTCTCCATTAAACTAAAAATTGGCATTAAGTTAGGTTAACTTACTTTGATTTAGTCCACTTAACTTAAGGCCTATTTTGCTTGGAGGGACTGTAGCGATAGTCGCACAGCGATTATCGCTCAGTTACTATCGCTGTTACGGCGACCGTTTTGCTTAGAGCGATTGATTTACGGTCGTCGTACGATTTTTCATCAGCACTCACAATGGTGAGGTCATGAGTGCGTGTTGTAACTTTTTAAACTATCTCCTCAGGGAGGAGTTAGAAGACGAGGCTCTACTTGACCCTAGGGGAAGTATCAATAGACGATCGATAGAAAATACGTGGTGATAGGATAGGAGTGAGTGATAGGGTTTGGAACGGATGCGTATCACTAGATGTCATTATTTAGGATATAAATAGAAAACTGTAGGCTAGTTTAAGCTACTTATTAAAATCAAAATTAAGAAAAATGCAAAGGAACCTAAACCTAAATAAATAAGTAGGCTAGGTTATTTATTTAGGTTTAAGTTTTTTTGCATATTTCTTAATCTTAATCCTTTAGCCTATAGCAAAATAGGCTAGTATAATTAAATAACTTCTTGATCAGCATTTTACGTGTTATTAAATTTACGGAAAGTAAATAAAAGAAACGTCTTATAACACTTAAAACATATATTTACGCTTATACTGTTCCTCACAAGACGGTAAATATACAAAACAGATGGTAAGTGGTGATCGATTTCGATTGGACACTCCAATCGAAATCGATCACCACTTACCATCTGTTTTGTATATTTACCGTATTGTGAGTAACAGTATAAGCGTAAATATATGTTTTAAGTGTTATAAGACGTTTCTTTTATTTACTTTCCGCTAGTATAATATAATCTTACTAATATTATAAATGTGAAAGTTTGTGTGTTTGCTTGTTTGTTTGAAGTTCAATCACGCATTAAGTAACTACTGGTCGGATCGAGCTGAAATTCGGTATGATGATAGCTTTCGTTCCCAATTAACATATAGACATATTCTTATCTCAAAGACCCATTAGGCTCCGCCCCAGTGGCTTTGGAGATTTCCATGTTAACCTTATCAGTATTCAAATTTAAAATGAATAAAATAATTTTACCAGCGGTTTCAACTACACGAGTTGGTTCTATGATATTCAATAGTACTAAAAAGTTATAGTGTTTACTAATAGGGTGCAGAACTAAAATTTTTTTCATATATGACAACAGCTTATTTGACCCAAGCAGCAACAAAAAGCTATGATACACAATGGGAACTGACAAAAAATAGGACTGTTTACAGTTATGCTTAAGTTTTTTATTTATAAATAATTTGTGATTGTGCGAATATTTGGTAACTTATTCGTCTCTATTGTTTAGGTAAAGTGGTAGCACATTATTATGGCTATAGTAGATGTGTAAATTACCGTAAAGTTAAAAGAACCAAATTTACTCAAACTGTGTCCTCCCCCATTGCAAACACAAAGCACGAGTATAACTGCAATAAGCATTTTATACTTATACGCCAACCCCGTACGAAGGACGGGTACTCTGCTAGTATACAATACATATAAAAATAAATTTGATTAAAATGTTTTTCGTGGACCCCACATTCCCCACAAAAAAATGCTTGCGGACAACACCTTGAGAAACTCTGACCTAAGTTAAACTTAATAATTTACATTGAATGAAACATTTTAATCTGAGTCAAAGATTTAAAGTTATAACTTTACTTAAGTATTTTATGGGAAAATAACATAATCCTAACTTAACTTAAGTTAATATTTTAAGGTTACCTAAGTTTAATTATCGAATAAAAGTTGCATCTGATGATATAAAATAGGCCTTTTGTAGGTTTGTTGCAGAACTGTACCTGGGTGTTTTAACATAAATAATATAAATATTTTATAACTTAAATAACTTAGGTCTATGCTTAAGTTTCACAGGTTATGTAATAAAGATCTTCTAAATAAAGTTATACACATCGGCCTACAGCTGGATTTTTTTTAACCAGAAGCGGTTAAGATAGGCACTGTAGGGGTGGCACAATTTTTATTTCACCTGCGGAATTTTAATACGGACAAAATGAGAGTAAAAAAATAAAAAAATGTATAATTTGTGTAATATAAAAATTAAACTGTCATAACCTAACCTTACTAACCAAACTTGCTGATAATCGCTACTGATAATCGCTACTGAATAATTTACTACCTTTAGTCCATCAGTGACGTTGAATATTAGGATCGGTCTATTTTGATCGCCCTACCGGCGCAAGTACCGATCAGTAGTGAACTTGTTAAACAATTGATTTATTAAAATATTAAGGATACCTAATATGAAAGTAAAATCTTGAACTTCAGAAATTAAACTTAACCCCATGTTTGAAATGGGAAGACAAACTTTAGGTCTTAGGGGTTAAATGTAGGCTACTATTCTGTATTAAGTTCATTTTAAGTATTTTTTTTTTTTTTTTTTAGCTGCTGCACAGAAAATGTTGGGCATAAGTGAAGTCACGGAAGCCAAAGTTACAAGCGTTTTTGCTAAGTGGCTTCAACAAGCCAAAACCAGATGTGAAAGAAGGTAAGGATAAAAAATTGTCACTAACTAACTATTCAACTCACCATTAATAGAATTCCATTGGTAGCCTAATAATACTGTACAGTGGACTCAATTATACAGGGAAGGAGACACTTGAAACTGACGTGCCCAACAACATACTTACAACTGCATACTTGTTACATGATTAAAGTCTAATGCAAAATATATTTAAGCCAATAATGTTAATTCTGTAAAAATAGCCAAACTATAGACACTTTGGGATAATTACTGTAAACAAAACACAAGATGCCAAGACTTTATACCTTTTAAATATTTTAATCTTAAGACATGTGATGAAGAGTCTCAAATCTATCCTACAAGACAAGTTGTTTCAGCACTTCCTGCCGATCCAGGGTGGTTAAACCGTACTGATAAAAATTGTCTGGTTTAAGAATTATATCTGCTGAGTGCAGTCTGGTTACTAAGTGTTCGGGTAAAAAGGAGTCTACTGCATAATGGTTTTTCATAAAAATGTTTTTTATTGTTTATCATTATGATTACTCAAGTAGGCCTACTGTATAAGCTAAAAAATACCCCCGCCGCAGCAAACCTGCCGACTAAGTGAATTTCCATTTGCCTGAATTGATTTTAAATTAAATGTATTTAATTAACATTAGCTTTAATGAGTACATAGGCTTGCTGCTACAAGGAGGGTAAAAAAGTGTGTTTTTTAGTAAAATATTAATTACTTAGTATCAAATAAATAAATTTACCAAGTTTGGTCAAAAACAAGCAAACTACGACATTTTACAATATTCTCCATAAGAATAACATGGGAATTTTAAAATATATATTTTTTTTCTCCGTAACCAATAATTGTACAAAAACACTTTGATATACTAAATCATTTGTTTTTTTAAGCTCTTTAAAAAGGTTTGGAGAGGGAAATTTGTGATTAAAGGGTCAAAAATTAGAAAAACCCATTTTTACCCCATAAAACCCCGTTCCCATGGTCCGATCATGCTGGTTCGCAAACTTATTCAAGTTTATCCCGCCTTACACCTTCAAACCAAATTTCATCAAAATCGGACAAACTTTTGGTGATTGGTTTGAACACCAAAAAATTGCTTGAAGCTGTTAGTTGTTGGTGATGACAGTTAGTGCAAATGTAAAATTTTAGTGCATCTAATTCATGTTGGAATTGATTAGCTAACTGCCTATCATTATCAGCTTCTTCTACCACTGCTTCATCTGGTTCTTCTTGTTCACGACGCCACTCTCTTACAATATTTGCGTTATTGGTGCGTCGACCAATATTACGACGTGGCCTTTGAGGCATGCTCAAAACAAATATAGCAAAACTGTTACTTCCATTGATAAACTGTTACATTCCAACTTTAACCTAGGATGAAAGTAAACATTGAAATGTAAACAAAACAGTTACAAACAATTAACATATGTTTATCTTAATTAAATGAAACGAGATAAACCCATATGTCATAGACCCAATATAATTTTTCTTTCAACTTATATTAAAATAACAAGCGAAATTGCGTGACGCATAAAATAAAATCCAGAAGGAAATTTGCAAATATTTTTTACCTAAACATTGTGCTCAGTATTCTTTAGCTGTTGGCCAAATTTCATATCAATTGTTCAAGCCATTACATTCTGATGCTCTTACAAAGAAGTTTCAAAGTGAGGGAAAGTGAGCTTTGCTCAACTAGTTTTATACTTAAACCGTAAAATATAAAATCCCGCAGATTTACCTAATTATTTTATCGAAGTGATAATGCCGCAACGCCTAGGTTTTGCCTGAAGTAATGTGAAAACAATCCTGGGCTTGTGTTTAGCATTTTTTGACAATAAAAATGTAATTGTGTTTTATACATATTAATAATTAATACTAATATTATTGGGAAGATCATATATTGTATTTGTATATCATTGTAGGAATAAATTAATTTTCACTAAACAGGCCTACACTGGTTGTGAGTTAAACTGTGTTAGTTTAAAATGTTGCTTACTTGCCTATTTTTTTTATACCAGATACAAAATTAATCATTTTGGTTGATTATCCTTAAATTTAATATTGATTCTATTTGTTTTGACTTTTTTCAGAGGGAAAAAAACCTGCCACTGTGGACAGTGGGGAAGAAGTTCCACTCAATGGGGATGAAGATCTTGTTGAATAGATAACTTACTCTGTATTATTTAAGTAATCGTAAAAAGAGGAATTTTTGAGGGAACTGTTTGTTGAAAGTTAAAGATACGATCGAGGCATTTTCAAATGTGAATGTGTTATGTAAATCTTCAATATAAATCTATTTAGACAAATTATCTCTTGTGTTTTATTTTTAATTTCAAAGAATTCTGAATTCTACGTACTGAATAGTAATAATATGTAAAATTGTAGGGTTGAAAACTATAATAACTCATGTTTTCCTGCTCTTTTATGAAAACAAGTTTTTAGATGGTATCTCGCTTTTTTATTTAGAGAAGTGTCTTAGCATGTAACAACTAGAGGCATTGAAGTTATTAGATTATGTTGTGATTGTGAAAAATTATCTGAAATATTGGAAGATTATATTGTGCTATGCATCTCAACCTAAAAAATGTGAAATTTTTATTACATGTAAGACTGTGAATCCTGGTAAAAGCATATGAATTACATTTTCAGAAATAAAAAAAAGAGCTTGTAAGTGGCTAAAAAAGAATTATTTCTTGTATTCTTCAATTAATATTCAAATAAGATGTTTCAATTTTTATTCAAATTAGATATTTCAAGTTTTATTAAAATTGGATCTTTTAAGTTTTATTCAAACTGGAAGAGCGGGAACTTCGACGCATGATTTTAACTTGAATCAAGTTTACAAACCCGATCCTTCAAGTTTGCAGTTTTGACAAACCAAACTTATTTCAAGCTTGAATCAAGTATTTTTTTAATTTATATTTAGATTTGATAGTTCAAGTGTTATTCAAATTAGATGTTTCAATTTTTATTTAAATTAGAAATTTCAAGTTTTATTCAAATTAGATGTTTCAAGTTTTATTCAAACTGGAAGAGCGGGAACTTCGACGCATGATATTAACTTGAATCAAGTTTACGGGCCCGTCCGAGCAAACTTGTTTCAAGTTTGCAGATTTGACAAATCAAACTTGTTTCAAGCTTTAATCAAGTATTTTTTGCTATCTGGGGTCGCATGTTTTCTTGTAGTATTTATCGATTGTTATTGTTACCTAATTCTATCCATTGTTATGCTTGCTATTCAACCAGTTTTTTTTCCATTAGCATGTGATGTTAGTCCCTATCTGCCTTTCAATAAATCCTGCAAAATAACAAAAAAAAGTAAAAGAGCATGAGAAAAGGCAGAAGGGAAGAAAATTTAATTAGGATCTTTCAATATTGTATCTGATCAGCATGTCAACCCTGTTATGTCAACCCTGTAAAAATGGTGTTATACCGTAAACAAATAAATAAATAAATAGATAGTCGTAGTACTCACTCGTCCGGACGTTAATCCACACCACCCAGGGAGTATCACATCCACAGTGCATGCCTATAAATATCCACAATTCGTGACCTCCTGGTAGTTGGATTACAGGATGACGCCACCCGTTCCAGTCTCAATTGTAATCTCTACAATCATGAACTAGACACGAAAAACGAGCTTCAAAATATACAAGGGATGAGAAGTCTACTTGTGTTGGTTAGTCTACGGCATAGTCCTAATAGTGGATTGTTGCGCACACGGCTAGCTACGTTTTAGCACAGACAAGGGAAACAAACTTTTATTTCCTTAGTCAATGGTTTTAGCAAGTCAAAGGTTTTAGATAGTTTTAGCAAAAAATTACTAAGCGTACAGAGTTCATAATTTGAGATAGTATACTACTCACCACATGCTCAGATGGATTTTATGCGTCTTTGAATATTTTGTTTTAAACTTTATCTCTACGTTCCTTTCCTTTATTCTCTCAATCTCGTGTTCTTTTCCTTTTCTTTCTTAGCCCATGCCCCGCCATTCATTTTCATTGGTTAATCTGGCATCTGGCGAAGAAACTGTGAAAACTGAAAGCGAAAACTGAAACTGAAACTGTGAAGTGAAGGAAGGAACAAGGAACGACGAGCCGTCGAGCAAGAATCGGGGTCGAAACGAAATCGTATTTGGAGGGCTTGAAACAATCTACAATTTTGTGATTTTGTGACACATTACAGTAAAGTTAGTATTTTTCCTTGTGTATTACTATTTTAGTTGAGTATTTATTAAGCTTATTGTGTGAATCATTACAGTTTTTCCATGGTATATGGATAAATGCGTTGACAAGACCTCGTTGTCAGTTAGTTGCTGATTGTGGTGTTTCTACCTGTCCTGAGATTAAGTTAGAGCTTGAATTAGGCATTCCTTTCGAACAGTTTGCATTAGCACTAAATGAAATTCATGTGATTACGTAAAATAAGTGTCAGACCACGTATCAGTGATACCGATATTAAAATTGTTAATGGCTTTGACCTTCGTGTTCCTAGGTTCAGTTCTGACTCAGTCCCTTGTAGGCCTACAATGATGCTTAGGCGCGGATACCCTTTCATAAGACGAAAGCTAGCATAGGCTAGGTCTAGGGATTATCCTTATACCAAAAAGGCTAGGCTGCACTTTACTTTAGGTCCTACACGCATTCAAATGAAAATATCGATTATTCGATTGTTTCATTCGATATATCGTTTGGTTAGTTAGGTTAGGTTAACCTTACCTAACTATCGATTGTTTTAGGCCTATTCGATATATTGTTTGGTTAGTTAGGTTAGGTTAACCTTACCTAACTAACCAAACGATATATTGAATAAAACAATTGATTAATCGATATATCGATTGATATTTTCTTTCGAATGAGTGTATGACCTAAAGTAAAGTGCAACCATAGGGGCTGCACTTTACTTTAGGTCTATGCCTGTCTATTAACTTTGGTTTCATATGTAGCTTTGTCAGTTGTAGGCCTAGGCGTAAAACATAAATTTGTTAGTTACCTATTCGGCCACCTAATCTAGCCTAGGCCTATCAGTTTTTCCAACACCATCAATCTAACTTACAACTGCTGTACACTGGGCAGTCTTATCATAAGTTAGGTCTATAAAGCTTTCTATATTAGTCAAATTTATGTAGGCTAACTTAAGTTAGGTTCATGTACAAAAAGTGGAAAAATAACTGGTAGGCTACTCTGGTATTATCCGGAGACCACCCTTCTTACAATGTTTTGTGGCGCTTAGGCCTATGTCAGGTTGGGTTATTTCATAACTTATAGTGTCTGTAGAACTTTCCTTGTATCGTTATGAATCTATTGATACTGGATGAGTCACAGTTTTGCCTAGGCCAAATACCCTCCAAGTAGGCAAAGGTCAGGTTGTTGACCAGAGCTCGTTAATCACACAGTGTCCTGAATGATGACTCATCTGGCAGGCCTATCGTTCGATTCATAATGAAACAAGGGAAGTCCTACAAACATATTTATGATACCAACCTATCATAACCGCCCCAGCAAGCTTTAACTTATAACTTACCTACTTGGCGGAGTACCTTACATATGGAAGGTGGCGGTGGTGACGCATTCAACTCAATCCTCGCCGTCATTGCTGCCTTCTGGGAGGCAGAGCTCTTAAGGCCGCTAAATTAATTGTAAACATGTCACATACTTACATTTGGACAGTAACTTAAGTCAACTAAAGTACAGTACCGGTAAGCTTAAATGTTCTTTCCAATTAACTTCTAGGGAAAAAAACAGATTATTCAAGAACATTTTATAACTGACCAAATATAAAAGCTAGGTACATAGGATAATGCAGCATACATACTGCATACACAGTGATGCAGAAAAGTAAAGACCAGTTTTTCTAACTATCTTGACGTCACCAATCATCATATCCACAGACCAAGCAACACAGTCGTGCGTCAGACATCTCTGTAGACCACTGCAGGGAATTCAGTGGCTTCAAATAGACCGTTACAAAGATATAAACATAATAACATTAGAACCCCGACGCAAATATGCGACGGCAGCCTATGGGTAGAAACCGGCCGTCGCATATGTGTGTCGCTGGTCCATGTGAATGACAAATTTTGTACTATTGCAGTAGCGAACGTGTTAAGATCGATAACTCATTTACTTAGCTAGATCAATAATAAAATAGGTACATGCATTAGCCAAGTCCAATTTACTAAAACAAACTTAACTAACTTGTAAAATATACATTAAAATTCATATGGGCTATCCGTCAGCGAGAAATGCGAGACACTGTATCACTGTAGTAGCGTTACCCGTGAGAAATTACCTCTCAGAGTGCCTTTTGAAGGTCTGCTGTGGATTTGATTTGAAGAGGGAGAGCATTAAACAGTTTGAGACATTGTAAGTTAGATCAGTGATTTGGAATTAAAAGGCTCGCAACACGGCATTTAAACCCAAGCGTAAGGCGTACAAACAAGAGTAGTAGGCCACTATGTGTAGCCATTACAGGCTATAGGCATGTTGCTTCGTATATATTACAATTCGTCACACAACGGATCTCGTGGCCACATGTAGTTGCCTTCTGAACACTAAGGGTAATCAAGTTTTTCATTATAATTAATTAATTACGGTACACATTAAAAAGCGTTTAATTTGAAACAATTTAAATACACAAATGCCAATCAATTACTACAGAAAGACTGAGAGAAGGTGTGGATGGGTGGCTGGGGTGTGTTAGATAAATGACAAGATATAAACAAAGGTCAGACATTCTGCGAACGAGTAGTATTGTAAACACTCAGCCACAGGCTTTTAATCTGAAACATGGCTTATTGATCAGCTGTTTTGGCCGACGTTATTGACCGAATCCTTTTGAACTTTTTTATCATTAAGCCTACACTAATAATAAAGTTGCTGCACCATTCTTTTGCCTTAGGGACATAGTTGAAAATTGTTTCCGAATCCCTTTGTAAAAATATGTGTTTTATTACTCTTAAAACAGTAGCCTATCTATCTATTTGAGATAAACACTATTAGTTATTACATGTTTAAACCGGAAATGCCGAAATTCCTAGAAAGGGACGGTTAAACCGTACTAGTCTCAAAGTAAGGTCGGTTAAAACAAGCTCTTATAATTTACGATCAAAGGCGGATAATCTGATTATCAGTTAATACGTGGTCGGTTAAGAGGGGGTCTACTGTAGATCTATTCTCATTTTAGCCTAGGCCTAATTGTAGCCTAGGTTGTAGTAAGGAAGTGTTAACCTACTAGAAGATTATGTTTAAAAGTAGGCTATCTCAGAGGTTTAATCCCTAGAAGAGCTAAAGTATGTGTCACGGTCATAACTTTTTTGTCCCATTTCCAAACCATTAGTGTTGCGATTACTATAATTTGGTAGTGCGTAGTTAAAACAGCTTTAACTTAAATAGAAAAGTACCTACTTAACAAATTTTAATATTTTTTTTATACAATCCCTACAGTGTAAATTACTTTATGTTGGTTTTAATAAGGAATTGTGAATAGCTGTAGCCTACCGTCAATAATAGCATAGACTAGGCAACACAAGTAGACTCCTCATCCCATTGTAAATTTTGAAGCTTGTTTTTCGTGTCTAGTTCATGTACGTCCACACTGATTGCTGGGGTAGACAACATTTTGTTTCTGTTATTTTAGGGTTATTTTCATGAATTGTGCTTTACTATTTGGTTATATTACTAGGAGACTAGTTATTGCTTATAATTTACATCGTTTCATTTGGTTAAATGAGGTTTTAAATTACTGAAATAACAAGAAACAAATTGTAAACAAAACATAACCTCTACAGTTGGACGTACAGAACTAACAATAAAATTGGCTTCAGCTGTTCCATAGGGATGACAAATCTACTAGTATGATTTCTCTATGATAATAGGTAGACCTAAATGAAACTTATTTCTTATTGACTTGTTGTAGTTGGTGCTTTTGCCCGTTGGGATAATCTATTGGAATGTCTGGGATTGCTATTGCTCGTTTAGCTGAAGAACGTAAAGGTTGGAGGAAGGATCATCCTTTTGTGAGTATACATTAAACATTTATAAGTTTTTATAAAATGGTATTAAGATTACTTAAATTTTTTTCCACTTCAAAATCTTGCAACTTAGCCTAATAATTAATAATAATAACTAAACTACAATAATTAGTCAACTAAATTAGGCTAATTATTTTCAGCTAGTTCAAAACCAGTATTTAGCTCTCTGTTTAAATGCACCTGCACTTAAAATGTCATTGATGGCATGAGAACATGTTCCTTATACAGTACTTGAAATAATTTATCTCTAGAATTTCCTGTACCGATTCTCATTGTATGGAGCAACAACTGATTGCCAAGCTTCGCTGGTAGTCAGTCTATGATGCGCTTTCGTGATCAATACACGACTCGTGAGTAATATTTTCTGCTATCAGTGACGTAGCCAGGATTTCAAAATAGGGGGGTGGGGTCTAGGGGGTATTTCAAATGGAGGTCTGGGAATTTTTTTTTTTTTAATATAGGCCCTAAAAAGGTTTTTTTAGCTCTCTTGGCATTGAAAATAATCAATCCCAACGTCAATACATTATGATTATATAATTTTACATTTAGTTTAACAAAAAAATATTATATTTAAGACCGGAATGGGGGGAGGGTCTGGACCCCCTCCCCTGGCTACGTCACTGCTATGTCTGATTCTTCAGGCAGTCATGACTTACCTTCTTTTGGCGACGCATGTGTCCAATGTTGTTTTTATGTTTTGGTCAATTAATGTTTAATGCTGGGTATACGTGTGTTGTTTGTGAACTTTTAACCTCATGACAACCATTCTATTCTATGGATGGAATAAATCAATGCAGCATTGACTTGAAGATGTGTTTATAAACACGAAACAGCTGTAGTCAACCAACTTCAATCTAGATGGTTTGGCCTACAGGTAATTTAAACCTTTTGTTGTAAAAATCAGTGATCCAGAGGCTATACCATAAAAATTACCTCTGATTAATAAACTTACATTTTTTTAAATGCTAAGCATAGTTTTCTTCTGTTTGTTTTTAGGGCTTTGTTGCTCGGCCAGGAAAAGCTCAAGATGGTGGTCTTAATCTAATGAACTGGGAATGTGCAATCCCAGGCAAAAAAGGAGTAAGTTTATTTTGCATTTATATGTCTTCATAATAACTTATTATTTTAGTACAGTGGGTCCCCAATAATTTTAACTCAAACTCAAATCTATATATTTTTGACATTTTACAAACTGCATAAATTTAGACCCTAAAATGCTTATAATGCAAATCCTAGAAACATTATAATTGTCCTTAGGGTGAAACTCTGATACATAGCTCACTTGTGTGAAGTATCGTCTTCATTGCCGTGGGCCATATTTAGAGCGGTAACAAAGTAATTTCTAGTTTTTTGTAGTGATGAGAAATTAAAAAGACTTACTCACTATAAAATAGCTATTTGTGTATTAAGAGTGCATAGTACGTCATTGCCGCTCGATAACTGTAATTGGCCGCACAAAGCTTAAAAACTGAGTGTGGCCATACATTTCAAGAGCGGCAATAACTTGTGCTCGTAATACACACAAGAGTTTCCCTACCATAAAAATTTACTTATAACACACAGATTAACTTTTTGGCTGTAGGCCTGTATAAAATTTCATTTAGGTTGTGTTTGTTTTCCCAAGTTACGTAATTTGCTTTTTTTTTGTGTTTATAAATGCCAACAGTGAAAGCAGCTGATTTAGCGAGCGAGAAATGGGGCGGAAATAAGATAATTTACGCATTGTTTATAGGTGTGGCAATGTGATCATTTCCTTGAGTGGCAGGAAAAGTTTTTTAACAGTTATTGACTGAGATGTGAACCATTTAACTGGGGTCAGCTGGTAAATGTTTTAAGTAGCCCTACTCAATTTTACTCATCAGTAGGCTATTATTTTGTTGTTTCATTAAATTTGCGAGTCAAATTGTGTTATAGAGGCTATAAAATAGACTGGCTGTGTTACTACCCGTAAAGGAACACTCGTTAAAGTAATTCCTTCGTTGAGAGTGTTACTTACCTATAGGCATACATGTACAAAATATAAAAGTTTATTTTTAAAGGTTTTATATTTTGGACAGGGTGTTCAATTTTGATGGTGACTTTTACAGACACCATGGGAAGGCGGCTCGTACAAACTGAGGATGATCTTCAAGGATGATTACCCGTCCAGTCCGCCCAAGTGTAAATTTGAACCTCCACTCTTCCATCCCAATGTGTACCCCTCAGGTAAAGTCCATCTCTCGTACATGTTTTGATTAGGACTGACTTAAGAGTCCTTGGAGCCTAGACGTTATAACTCATAAAAAAATTACAAAAGTAGGAAGAACATTTCTAATCCCACACTGAACTAGATATTTTAACTAGGCCTACACTACAGTAGGCTACTTTACTTGAAATGGGGACCATGAAAGTACAGTAGGTAATTTAAGCCAAGTATGAATGGAGATGGTAAATAACTCTTCAGCGGCTGTTTGAAATCAACAAAATTAGTGATACTCTTATGGCGGGCAAATCAAAGATAGCCGTTAGCCTCATTTACTCCCTTGGAAACAATTACAAAACTACAACTAAAAATTATGATCCCACATTGCCCTAGATATTTAAATTTCTATCACTTTTGGTATTTGAAAAAAAATATTTTTGGATGATAAAAATCCCTTTGAACAATAATCCAAGATGGCCACTAGTCTCCAAGGACTTTTAAGAAAGTCTCAGTTTGACAACAACACACTTGAGGTTGTCAGAAATACAGTTTGAAATATTAAAAAATGAATAGGCTACAGACTTAGTACACCAACTAACTCTCTGAGTCAGATAGTCAGAGAATAATGCAAATGCGGCATTGTTTTCTGTGAAGCCCTGTTTCCTTTTAACATTTTGTCTTGTCCCAACAATGTTGGGAGCTAAAGGACTGTTCACACCGGCGTAGCCAGACGTATTAATACTTTTTCGAAATACGTAGCTGACGTAGCTCTTAATGTAATTTATAGAGAGTGTTCACACCGGCGTATTAATACGTGAGCTACGGAATCTACGGCGCTGCCGCTACGCCGGCTAGCTACGCGTAGCTTGTGTCGCCGCATGCGCACTAGCACACCGGGCTGTCACCGCCACCCTCCTACACCTAAGTGGTAAATGTTGGACTATAACACAAAAGTTCACTATAATTTAAAAAATCATTAAATCGCGTTAATCTATCACATTCAAATTAGACTATAACATAACAATCTTAAGACAACTGTATATGATCAAAATATAATAATACTTCATCATACGAGTACCTAGTGTCCACTAAATTTTTTTGTTTATGCTTGCAAATCTCGTTATCAAAAACAATGTCTCTCTCTTAATATGGTTTATTGTGGTTCATATAGTGGGCTGACATTTATGAAACATTAATGAATTATTTCTAGACATAGGCCTACTACGTGTTTTTACTTACACCATAGACTATTTTATTATGTAATCCTTATGGATGAGCAAAATTATTGCATGTTTTCTGGTATTTTTTTTTTTTTTATAATATAGCGCAAATCTTATAGTCTACTAAACCTATACGGCCTAAAAATGAGAGTAAAATATTTTTGTCAACATTAACACATTAATCAACAGACTTTTCAGGGTACTATAAAAGCTGCAATTGAACCGTGGCAATCTTAACTGAAATTCATGAAACACTAATAAAAATAAACAATAAATAAACAAATATAAAATATTATAATAATACTAGCTGACCCGGCGAACTTCGTATCGCCTAAGTTATAAGTTTCCCCTAAGACAGACCGATGGAAAGAAAGTACCGTTACGTTTAATTTTCAAGATGATCTCGTTCTAATGGCTCAATCACGTCCTGGTTGAAGTTCGTTCGCTACGCTCACTCACCTTTGGGTTGGAGCTTGTTCGCTACGCTCACTCACCTTTAGGTTGGAGCTCGTTCGCTGCGCTCACTTGCCTTCAGGTTAGCTCGTTCGCTACGCTAACTCGCCTCCAGGTTGAAGTTCGTTCGCTACGCTCACTCACCTTTGGGTTGGAGCTCGTTCGCTACGCTCACTCACCTTTAGGTTGGAGCTCGTTCGCTGCGCTCACTTGCCTTCAGGTTAGCTCGTTCGCTACGCTAACTCGCCTCCAGGTTGAAGTTCGTTCGCTACGCTCACTCACCTTTTGGTTGCAAATTAGCTGTTGTCATAAATGTAAAAGAAATAATAGTGCTGCACCCTGTTGGTAATCCTTGTAACTTTAATGCTATTGAACATCATAGAACAGAACCAACTTGTTTAATTGAAACAGCTGTTAAGATTCATTAATTCCATTTCTCATAAGGTTAACATGGGAAACTCCAGAGCCACTGGGGCGGAGCCCTTTTAAGAATTTCGAAACGGGAAATAGTTTACGTCCGATTCGCATACCTACAGAATTTACACACCAAATTTCATAACGATCGGTGAAGTCGTTCCGGAGGAGTTTGCAGACAAACACTGTGACACGAGAATTTTATATATTAGATAAACAAACGACAGCCGGCTCACCGGCCTACGCAGCCGTCAGACGTAGCTGCGGTGTGAACAGTGCACTGGCGACGTATTAATACACCGAATACGTCTGCAGACGTCTAGCTACGCCGGTGTGAACAGGCCTTAAGCATAAGTTGATTTGAGCACAGCTCGCAACAATGCTGGTGCGCTGTTTCTATTCCAAGCAGTTCCCACAGCATCAGCCAACCTCTCCTCACTGCGAGCATCGTCTTTGCCCTCTACACTACATCTACATCAGTGCACCCTACATCATAGAGAGTAAAGAGGCCACCACTGCTGCTTTTGTTCTAATAGCTGGTGCATATCACCAATTTGAAAATGTAAAAATGTGAAAGAATGTCTTGATAATAAATTTTTATTTTTTTCTTTCTTCCAGTTGAGGCAATTCCCAAGCTGTAAATAAGACATGAGAATGAAATAATATATAAATACAATCTTTTTCATATTTTATCATCAAGTAATATTATAAACACAGATAGAAGTTAAAACAAACAAAAATTCGGTAATAATGAATTTTGGCCCGAGACCCAAGAGCTAAAATTATCGGCCCGACCCGACCTGAACCAAAAAAGTTTGACCCACAGACCCCTACTACAAACACACTACCAACCTACACTATTACAATTCTTTCTGCTAGAAATGGAGAAAAATAGACACCAGTGACCGGTGACCAGTCTGCCAGGGCCTTTTATAGTAGTAGTAGTAGTGTTCTTTTGCCAGATGAAAAATCAACAAACTTTCAACAATTTTACATTATTTACCTAAATGATTTAAACGTTAACAATAATTTAACAAATAATTTAAAACTACAATATTTAACAATATTACTTTATTCTCACCACTTTAAATGCTCAAATACCCTTTTCAATCAAACTTTTTCACTATCCAAGACACCTGCTCTCCCATTAGTTTGGTTTTGAGATGTATTCAAAATCCTTTCTAAGAGGAACAAAACAAGTCTCCACTCATTTGCACAGGGCTAGTTTAAATCTGAAATTTCAACATCCAGAAGATTATTGATTATTTACATTGTTTTTAGGCACTGTCTGCTTATCGTTGCTTGATGAAGAGAAGGACTGGCGGCCAGCCATCACCATCAAACAGATCCTTCTTGGTATTCAGGACCTCCTCAATGAGCCTAACATTAAGGATCCCGCCCAGGCCGAGGCTTACACCATTTACTGGTAGGTCGAGTGTCAAGCAGTTTTAGTAGGTTTCTGGTCTTTACCTCAAGTCAGTAGTTACTTTGGAACATTGGCAGGGAAGTCCCATGTGGTTTGAAACCAAGTGATTGTGTGGTGCAGCTTTCCTTTCGCTTTGCCGGATATGTTCATCAACAGTTGTTAGATAATTTGGAACACTTTTACTTGATTTATTGTGTTAAAAAATATGGATACCTCCTCTTAAGGGTTACGCTAGGGAAATTAAACTCTCCTAACTAGAGATGGTCGCATCCAGGAATTTCAAATCTCGAGTCCTAAAAATAATTACAAATGGGCTTATGGTGATTAAAAAAGTAAGCATGGAATAGGAACTATTTAAAAATAAATATTACACTAACCATGAATGACTACTATTTGCAATAAAAACTTAGGCCTAGTAATTACTTTTGACACACGACAAAAATAACAGACAACTAATCGGTTACATCTTTCAACCTATTAACCTAAATTGAACGGTTGGTCTGTATACTTTATTTGATCGGCAAATGTTCATTATTGGTTATTTATTGTTGTAGGTAGACTTGTTAATTTTAAATTAGTTGATCGATAGTATACTCTGTTTCTTAAAATGTCATAAAATGGCAATGTCACGGTACTGTATATTACAACGTCAATTACCTCTCTGGTTAGTCAATGTCACAGTAAGTGTATATTACGACATCAATAACCTTTATGGTTAATAAGCAATGCCACAGTATATGCCTTAGGCTATACATTAATTGTATTCTTAACAAAAAATTATTCTTGAAATTTGTTAATTGAATCTCAAATCCGAATCTTTTCTTTGGATTCGAGATTCGGATTCAACACATCCCTCAAATGTTTGAAATGCAAGGCCCCATCGAGTGACACCTTATAATGGTCTTGGTCTTTAAAAAAAATCTGGGCAAAAACCTTGGGTCTACTTCATATGGTCTTCAGGAATCGACTGTGTTATAGACATAAACTTAAAACTTGGTACTGACTACTACTGTTGTTTATTTTTTAGTAGTGCCTGCTCTTAATGGCTTTCTGTAATAAGGCTAAAACGTCAAAACTGCTAGTGCTAAGTTTATGTCTACTTTAAGAAAGTTTGTTTTGTAGTAAACAAATATTCTGTTTCCAGCCAAAACCGTCTTGAGTACGAGAAGCGAGTGAGGGCCCAAGCAAGAGCAATGGCTCCTCAGGAATAGTAAATAACCACTGCCTGCATCAGCAAGCAGTCTGGAACCTGGTGTCATCGACATAAACTCTTTATTGTGTGGTTAAGTGTCTTCTGTTGACAAAGTAAAGTCTTCTGATTATAAATAAATTTTACGTAAGGTTTGTATTTTAGTCCGAAGCTTTATTTATTTGAATTGGGTCGACCCTTACCTATCGGAAATCGTAAATGTTTTTATCGTGACTAAGTAAATATATCATGTCTTTGTAAATTAAAGATGGTCTAGTGTAATTTAATTTTAAGTTTTCTATAAGTACAATAATAAAGCATCAAATTCTTTTTTTTTATGTGTGTTTTTCACTGGCCTGTTCTTGTAATTTATTTATAACGTTAAAGGAACACAAATCTTAAAAACTACAATCCTGGTACCTGTCAACCACATACTAAAAAGGCTTTTGATAAGGAATTTCTCTCTGAAGTATTTGTTTTTTTAACCCTCTCCTAAAAGCACAAACCTAATAACACTTGTACATAGTAACAAATTAAAAATTAAAAATGTGTCAACTGTTACATTTGCATTTAGTGAGTGTTTTTCATATGCTCTGTACTTCCTCAGCTAATTAACCTATTAGCATACTCTACTAGCATTTAATAAACACTCCCTTGCATTGGTTAAGTCTATGCAAGATAAAATACCGGCATTAGTTAATAATATTAGAGAGCAGGAGTTCTATGGCTGAAATATAATTGATTTTAAGTTGCATTTAGAAAAAAGCACCTCACAAAATATAGACATGTGGTTGTCTCACTCACTCTACACCTTAGACTTGTCTCTTGAGTAGTCCAGTTTGCGGTCACAATATTTTTTTGGATTCGATGTTTTTATCCTTTCAGTAAATACAAAAATGCAATTTAAGTTTTCATCAAAAGTAATAGAATTCAATTATGGAAAACATGGATATTTTAATACTTGGCCAAAAACGATGACCATTGGCCAACTATCGATGCTCATTCCTACTAGACATTGGCCGTAATTTTTACAAGGGATGAAGTACATTTGAACTAGGGGATTGTGCAATCGTACAAGGCTTGAGCGATCGCAAGCTGATTCCCCTAGAACAAAATTGCAGCATTTCGATTTTCTAGCAGAATTACCGTGTCAGTTCCATTGATGAATATCAGAACTCAGAAAGTTGTATTGCCTTTACTCAACTTACAATGTTGTAAGTAAAAATATAAGGTCAAACTTAAAAGGAGAGACATGCTTATGATTCAGATCAGACCCCAAGGTTGTGTACAAGAATGAGGTTCCTTACAAACCAGAATTACATCTACATTCTAAAAAGACCATAAAATACATTTAAAATATGAATACCAATTTTTCTAAATTGGCAGCTAACCTTGAAATTTCTGATGAAACACCCCCTATTTTATGATATTTTTAGAATGTAGATGCCATTTTAAGACTTTTATGAATTACTAGCAGAGTACCCGTCCTTCGTACGGGGTTGGAATATAAGTACTAAAAGGAATATAAGTATAAAATGCTTATTGCAGTTATACTCAAGCTTTGCGATTGTAATGGGTGGAGGACACAGTTTGATAAAATTTGCTTTTTTAAATTTACAGTATTCTATAGTATTACACATCTACCATAGCCATAATGTTCTACCATTTTACCTAAACAATAGAGAAAAATAAATTATCAATTCGCAAAATATCACAAATTATTCATGAAATGAAAAACATAAATATAACTGTAAACAATCCTACTTTGACAGTTCTCATTGCGAATCACAGTTTTTTGTTGCTGCTTAGTTCAAATTAGCTGTTTTCATAAATGCAAAAAAAATATAGTGCTGCACCCTGTTGGTAAATCTTATAACTTTTTAATGCTTTTCCATATCATAGAACCAACTTTTATTGTTGAAACAGCTGACTAAATTCTTTAATTCCCTTTAAATATGAATACTCATAAGGTTAACATGGGGAATTACAGAGCCACTGGGGCGGAGCCCGAAAGGATTTTTGAGATAAGAATATGCCTATATGTTAATCGGGAATGTAAGCTATCATCATGCCAAATTTCAGCCCAATCCGTCCAGTGGTTTATGCGTGATTGAACTTCAAACAAACACACAAACTTTCACATTTATAATATTAGTAAGATAAGATTCCTCTTTAACGTTTCTAGTTTAGGGGTTACAGAATTCAGACTTTACTCAGAAGGTCACTTTTAACAAAATATAACAAACCATGGCTCCTAAACAAGTAGTTTTAGAGGAAAATGTCCAGAATGAAAAAAGGTTTTTTAAAAATTTCATTTTCATTCTGGAATGGATCATAAAAATACAAGGTGTTCCAAAATAAATTTCAAAGTTAGCAGCCGTATTGGAAAATGGTGTCCATTTTGGAAAAAATTAAATTTTTAATTAATATCATTAAAAAACAAGTTGAAGTTATCTGTTTAATGTTTTCTCTAAATCAAATATTTTCCGAGATACCAATTGTGGTCCAGTTCACCCTGTACAGTAAAGTAAATGCAATATTGTGTAACCTTGATTTTTGGGTGACTTGGATTTAAAAGCACGATACATGTACAATGAATACAAAGAATCATTGATAGCCTACTTGTAAGCCAATCAATGACTGATAAGAGGTACAACTTGCAAAATACCTTGCACAAATAATAAACCTTGCAAAATATGATCGAATTTGAACCTTCAAAAATCTGATGACTAGGGTTATGGAACAATTCAAGCAGAGTCATGAACAAGCTACTCAAAAATCCCTGCGCTGGTAAATAAAACAGCCTTTTTAGTAAACAACCTCGCCATTAAATCAGAAATAGCAGAAATACTTTTAATCAACAACTTGTTCATTTATTTGGTTGTTAGGTTTGCTTAGTGTTTTATACAATTTTGAATTTGCGTCTGTCCTTCACCGATTTGGACAATAGAGGTGTATTTTATAGCGTATTTCCCATATAGGGAATAAGGGTTTGTTGTAGGTTTCATGGTAAGACCTAGACCTGGGACCGACATACTTTTTTATGCCTCTAGAGATAAAATGTAACTGAGTCCCTAATTCCAAAATTTAGTCAAAATCTAAATAGCATTATTAAATATTTATTTCACTGTTAAACCATAAGGTTTGCTAACAATTACCTTAGTACTTAGGGGATTAAGTTTAGGTAGGGAAGAGCCAAGTAAATAATCAGTATTTGATCTAAACTATTTTCCCCAAAATTGAGTAATCTTTTTCAGTGTAATTTTTGCTCAATAGTAACAACTGATGTTTTCCCTTTGTACTGTATTAGTAATTTGCTAGTATACTGTGGATGGCTTGTCGCAAGTAGGGTCGTAACCAAGATGAATCGAGTAAAACTTTTACTCCATGCATCTTGGGTCGTAACAGCTGTTTAGTTTGGAAGCAGCTGAGCTAATGGTATTTTGTGTATTTACATTTACGAAAGCTTGGTTACTGAACTATGACAATACTGACTCCACTTTAAATGTATCGGTACCAATATAGATTTTCAATTCATATTGTTTTGGTTTTCAATTCTTTATGTTTTATTTTCAATATTTTCATAAATTTATGTTCATAAATATTAATTTTAATCAATAAAGTCCGAATTAATGAGCTGATGTCAACGGTCTGCCATGTTATCTTATGGGACGTCTGACACTAAACAACCCTATTATAGTCCTCGCCACCCTAAGTTGAGGCAGCCCAAGGCCGCACGGCGTATATCTAGTGCGGCCTTTGGCTGCCTCAACTTAGGGTGGCGAGGACTATAGCGACGTTGCCAATTCTACCAGACCACGGTCTGGAGTTAAAGGTGGCCGTGCTTAAAACACGTTTTATTCGCTAAGCAATTGTGGTATTAATTGTTTTAGATTGCACCACTCGTGCTGAAGTTGTCAGCTGTTATTTTTTCGTGAATATTGTCTAACAACCTCAATCGCTATTCGCTGTTGACCAACAACAGTCGAGTTTTTGTGTGGTTTTACTTTATCAGTTTGCAATGCAAGCATCGTGATTATGAGTTGCAAATTTGTGAATGTTTAGTTTGAATATTATTTATTGTGCCTTACCTGAAATGTGAAAAGAAACTCGAGACACTATTTTTAGCTGATTTTGTAAACTTTATTTTTTACTGTTTACCAACAACGAATGTCGTGGGTGTACTGCGGTTTTACTTTGGTTTAGTTTATATGCATTTACGAAAATATTACTACAAAATTCCTTGCCACTATAGAGTTCGCCCATTGCTAGTTTTAGGGTTAATAATTAATTCACAGTATGTCAAATGAATATAATTGTAAGCAAAAAGGTACTTTTGTATGTGTTGCAAAGAATAATAAGATACTTCATTAACTTGTTATGAAATATTTCTATGCAGTTTTGTAAATGCTAAATTTACAGCTGATCATGTTTGCAAAATAATTTATTAACCATTTTTAACATTGCTTCATCACGCAACCAACAAATTGACTGAACTTCAACAAATTGAACTTCAATATGTGTTTAATAACAGAAGTGGCCTCAATAAAAGAGCTACTACTTCTTTTAGTAGCTTCAAGTGTCATCTATAATACCTTCCAGAAAATGGATTTGTTAACACAAAATTTAAGAAGTCTCAAAGAGAAATTTGACATTGAAAAAGTCTCTCAGAATGACACAATGAGAGTCTTGAAGAAAACTGTAGAACGACTAAAAGACGAACTACGGGAGTCGGAAGCAGCGACGAAGAGAGCTCTGAAGGAATTAAGACTCCAGCAAATGGATAAAACAGGTATGGTGGATTACGCTTATGGAGGAAGAGTAACTCCAACTCAAGGTACAGAAAGTTACCTTTCAGAAGGTGTTAATTTCTTTGGCGTCTCTGTTTGCGGCCAGAACTACTTGGAAGGGCGAATAGTAGAAACGTCCGTTATGCCTGGCGATTGCTGGCCAATCAAAGGTCAACAAGGATCCGCCATTATTGAGCTTATCGAAGATGTAAACGTGAGTCAAATCAGTTTAGAGCACGCACCAAAAGAACTGCTTCCGAACGGTGCTTCGTCAGCACCGAAGGAGTTTTCTCTACTTGGGCTGTCGGATAATGGAAATGAAAACCAAACTCCTCATTTATTCGGAAGATTCGCTTACAATCTAGCCTCATCTGAGGTGCAGACTTTCCCAGTTCAGATACCTAGTTCAAAATCGTTCAAGAAAGTCGAAGTTCAAATTCACTCTAATCATGGTCATTCGGAGTTCACCTGCGTTTATAGAGTTAGAATTCATGGGAACACACGGAAATGAAATGCCACTCTGATGGAAAAATACAGAACAGTTTATTCAGTTGGAACTGCAATATCATCGTGTTCAGCTAAACCATTTGGGGTTTGATGTGTGATTCAGAATTTTACCTTTAAAAAACATTAACTATTTGCGTATATATTTCAAAATTAAAAAGCTTACCTAAGCTTGTGTGAACGTCCTAATAAAACTTAGTATTAACGTAAAACATGAGACTTTTCTTGTTTTTTGTGGGGACGCCCCCTTTCACCAATCTATATACAGGGTGGTAATAAAGTCCAAAGACAGTTAAATATTGTAATAAATAATGTAGATAGAGCTACGATACTTGGTACAAAGTTACAGAGCATAAAACTTTATTTTAACACATATTCAGTCTTTCAATAACTCGTAGCAAACGAACTTCAACCAGGACGTGATCGAGCCTTGCGAACGAGGTCATCTTGAAAATGAACGAGAGTATTTGACATTATACCACTTTAGGACAGGACGACGTCTGTCGGGCCAGCTAGTTCCTGTAATAAAAGTCCTCGGGATTTACCCCACAGAACATCAAAAATTTAAAGTATTTCTCATGAAGAAAAGATTTTGTTTACTTCAAAAGACGATTTTTTTTTTTTTTTTTACTTAATTTTATTTTACAATCTGTTCAGTACTTTGAACAATTAGTAAAAGGGATAATATAAATAAGTGTCTTGACCAAGAATCTTCCCTGTGAAAGATCTTGCAAAATTAAATAGTCATGTCATAACTAAAACTATACAAATCGGTATGGGAGTTCTAGAACTTTCACAATTTTCAGTCTGTTGGGAAAATCACTATTGTCCAGCAAATTAACGGCTATATTGTTCGGGTGGGTTTCGAGTTTTTCTTGATAGTTCTTGCTAATTCTTGTTATTTCTTCAATTACTGTAGGTATTCTGAAATCTTCATGGATTGTTCGATTCGAAACAAACCACGGAGCATCAACTATTCTTCGTAGCGCCTTTGACTGAAATCTTTGAATAATTGCTAAGTTGGATTTACTTGCCGTTCCCCAAAGCTGTATCCCGTACGTCCAAATAGGTTTGATCATAACTTTGTAAAGTGTGAGTTTATTGGTCAACGAAAGCTTAGATTTTTTGCCTAGAAGCCAGTTGAGTTTACGAACCTTCAAGTCCATTTGTTGTCTTTTAAACCAAATATGTGTTTTCCAAGTTAATCGTTTATCCATATGGAATCCTAAATACTTAACGCTGTCCACTTCTGTCAACGCTATATTGTTCAAAGTAACTGGAGGGCAGTTTTCTTGTCTCAGCGTGAATGTTATATGTAAAGATTTTGTTTCATTAACTTTAGTTCTCCATTTTTTTAGCCACAGTTCGAAATCATTTAATGCAACTTGCAATTGATTTGAAGCATCTTGAGGATTTTCGTGAATGGAGAGAAATGCAGTATCATCCGCAAACGTAGCAACCGTAATATTTTGGCCCACGGGGATGTCGGAGGTATATAGTAGATATAAAACAGGTCCAAGAACACTGCCTTGGGGTACTCCAGATTGAATAGGCTTCAAGTCGGTTAAAATTTCTTGAAATTTAATCTGAAAGAATCGTTCATTTAAGTAAGATTTTAACAAACTGTAAAAAGAATGGGGGAGCAAGGATTTAAGTTTATACAGAAGTCCAGTGTGCCACACTTTATCGAATGCCTGTTGTACATCCAGAAATGCAGCAGAACAGTACTTTTTTGTTTCAAATGAATTTTTAATGATGTCTACTAGTCTGTGGGTTTGTTCAACTGTAGAGTGTCCTTTCCGGAAGCCAAACTGATGCTCAGGAATCAAATTTAAGTCTTCTATAATTGGGTTCAATCTTCTTAGGATTAGTTTTTCAAATAATTTGGATACAACAGGAAGCAAACTTATGGGTCTGTAGGACGAGACCTCATTTGGTGGTTTGCCTGGTTTTGGAATGACCACAAGTTGAGCTATCTTCAATTGAACTGGAAAATATTCTAGCCGTAATATTGCGTTAAATATGAAGGTCAGCAATAATATTCCTTTTCGTGGCAATTCTTTCAGAATCCTGCCAGGAATAATTTGTATTAATTGCATACTAAAACAGCTGTCATAGTTAAGATACAAGAGCTTCGTTTTCTAGAATGGCAACTTAGGCCAACAACTTTACACGTTTCTATTTTTGTTTTGTCGACAAAGCCCAAACCATATTACAATACGTTTACGTAATGTAGAAGACAAAAACACAATGTCAAAATATCTTCTGCTGAGTTTGATAAAGAGTGTAGGTACTTAAAATGAGCTCATATTAACACAATTTATGTTCCGTAAAAGCCATTATGTTGAAGATAATGAGTTGGTATAAAAGTTAAGATAGATAGATTATACACGATTCTTTGTCTGTTCATTTATCTGCAATGTTTGCAGTTTTGAGTTGTGTTGTTTCAGTTTTGTTTTTGGCGAGCAACTCCGTGGCCAAACTTCCACCTAGTAATAGATTTTTCTGAATTGTTTTTTTTTATTTGATATATTATTTTGCTTTAAATTATGTGTTATGGTTATTTCTGAGGAATGAAAAGTTAAACTAGATAATCATCAGCTATGTATTTTTCACAAAATGTATATAATTACGTAGTATACAGTATTTGTCTTCTTAATTTAATTTAGAGCTGACACCCTGATTTAGTGTTGTTTTCTTCATATTTTTAAGTTTTTTTTTTTTTTTTATAGCGGAGTGTATATATTGTTAAGTCAATTTAATATACATAGGTCTACTCTGCTTGTTATTTAGGGGAATTAAATTATCGTCCCTTTCTTAAAGATTTTGGAACATTCTTAATCTCTTTTTACAATTTTATTATGGTCTAGTAATTTAAAGTTACATAAATTAGTAACACATCAGGTTCCCACGTAAAATACAAACGAAAAAGATTTTATTCCGTCTGGCTTAAATTAGTTTTGTCCAATAATTTGCTTGAATATTATACAGGGTGTCGACAAAAGAACTGAACCATTTTAAAGGCAAATACTGATACCAAATAAGGAACTATGTTTAATGTTTTATATATGTAATTGAAGCTAAAATTCTCAAGTTTAATTAGAAACTTAGTATAACTTGATATGAGCACCATTAGTAGCCCTGCATAAATTTAAGCGAAATTTGTCCTCTTCCTAGGGTTTGGTGAGTACTTCAGGGGATGTTGCACCAACATGCACTATTCTCTATCGGAGGTGATTCAGATCCCGAATCCGCACCGAGTAGGAATAATTCTTTACTGCCTCCCAAAGGTAAAAGTCCAGAAAAGTCATATCTGGAATACTAGGAGGCCATTGGATTGGCCCTTCCTACCAACCCAACCGATCGTAGAAACGAGTATCGAGTATCTATAGCTTCTCGCACACGCAAACTGTAGTGTGCTGGCGCTGCATCCTGTTGAAAATAGACTGGGCCATTCTCCATCTCAACGTCATCCAACTGTAGGAAAACGTACTCCTCTGACATGTCACAATAAATGTCACATTTTATATCCCCTGAAAGACCTACTGTACTGACCAAAGCTTGGAAAGATGTTAAATTTAGCTTAGATTTATGCCGGGTCACCAATGGCGCTCATATCGAGTTATACTAAGTTTATGAAAAAATTGAGAATTTTAGCTTTTAATATACATACAGGGTGACAAAAAAGTCTGGAAACGGCTTGATATCTTTTTAACTAAATTTGTTAGAAAATTAAAACTTTTCACATCATCTTATATGTATGAAAACTACTTTTTGCAAGCATTACCATTTTTTGACCTTCACCAGGGGACGGCCCACGAGGAGTAGGTACATAATCTCTAATGTAAGCATAGATTGATATGCACGTCATTTCAAAGATCTGGTCAAGTGGAGCTCATTGCCGGAAACCGCGTCAAAACAGGTTCATTCGTTACAAAATGGCGGCAGTCCAAAGTTCTTGCGGAATATACCTGCAGAGGCCTTGGAATTGGTAAATACTCATATTCAACACTAGCCGGGAAATCTGAAACCCGTTTAAATTTGTTTTGAAGATTGAATAATATTAGTTTATGAGCTAGTTGACTTTAAAATACAGTTTCAGCTCTCAAGCTAATGTTTAATACGAGTATTTACCAATGCCTGTGCAGGTATATTCAACAAGAACTTTGGACAGCCGCCATTTTGTAACGGATCAACCTTTTTTGACGCGGTTTCCGGCAATGAAATCCACTTCACCAGGCCTTTAAAATGATGTGCATATCAACCTATGCTTACATTAAAGATTATGTACCTACTCCTCATGGGTCGTCCCCTGGTAGAGGTAAAAAAATGATACTTCTTGGGAAGAGTAGTTTTTATACATGTAAGTTGATGTGGAAGGTTTGAATTTTCTAACGAATTTAGTTAAAAAGATATTAAACCGTTTCCAGACTTTTTTGTCACCCGTATATAAAACACTAAACATAGTCTTTTATTTGCTATCAGTATTTGCCTTTTTAAAATGTTTCAGATCTTTTGTGGACACTCTGTATTGTAGTCCTGGCCTTTTCCTAACAATTCTTTAATTGTTTTTTTCCAGTAAAATGTGATTACAACGCTGAATTTGACAACTGCTTCATTAAGTATCTTCGAAGGAACATTCCACATCTGGCAAAACGTAAGTTTGTTACAAGTTACAACTTGTTTTACTCTAATACAATTGTTGTAACTCTCAGGCCGGGCGTATGCTGAGACGCACGTGACACAACGCACGCAAGCCAAGTTTTACGGCGCAAGCCACGCAGCACACGAATTTTTGACTAGCGCAGCGCATGCTGACTCAGCAGGGGTGCTCACAAGGGGGGGTTGTGACGCAGACTGCGTCATTGAAATTCTTGGGGGGGGGCTGCAAAAATTCAAATGGGGGGGGGTGGCTAAAGCTAATTGTAACAGTGTTCAACGTGACGACAATCCAAAATATATTACGAAGTCGCCAGATAGAAAGTAGATTAATTAATGACAATAGTTATTTTATTGAATTAAATTAGTTAAAATTGGATTTTAGGTTGGCTTTGGATTCGTGAAAGTTATTATTAAAGATAAGCAAGAATAAGAGGGAGCGCACGGGAATCACGGGATGGCTCAACTGCTGTGAGCTATGATAGAATGATAGATGTGGTACAGTACAGACACGTCCAGCTACACCACGACTTAGCACAG